TCGTGTAATATTATTTATAATTCCAGACGGGTCCTCCGTTTAACGGATTAGTCCTGCCTTTCTTCTCTTGCTCTCTTCTCTGATAAATAATTTCGGAACCATATTCAGCTTCCATTAAGTTCTTGGTGGTCATTTCTCTTGTTTAGTCCTAACTCATTTAGCTTTCGAAACGGTTTATTTATGAGCCACAAGAAATATTTTTATTATAGAACGAATAAATAAATAATTTCCACTTTTATCATTTTATAAAGCAATTAAAAAGAGAAATGAATCTGAGTTGCCTCTGGAAATTACTTGTAACGGAATTGGTTTTTGTATACTGTGTATCTATGCTGGTATTGTTCACCAGCTGTATATCGATTTCAAAAAGGCTTACGAATCTATTGACCGCCAGAAACTGCATAATATTCTCTATAGGGGGCTCCAAAAAAAAAAAAAAAAACTAGTAAATCTAGTCAGAATGTGCTTGACGGAAACACTCAATAAAGTTAGAATCGGTAATAATCTGACCAAAAATTCTGATTTTCGTTCGGTTTTAAAATAGGCAGATTCCCTTTCGCCTGTCCTATTCAATTTGGCATTAGAATATGCCATTAGGGAGGTAATGCGTACCGAAAAAGGGTTGGATCTTGGTGGGACAACATCCGTGATGGGTTATGCTGATGATCGAGTACTCTTAAGCGAAGACGTGGAAACTACAAAACTAAATACGACAACATTAATGAAAGTAGGTAAAGAACTAGGGCTCGAAATAAACGGTAATAAAACAAAATATATGGTTAGCTGCAAAAATGGCGATACTACTGGTGATGGTAATATGTTTGAACAGGTAGAGAAATTTAGATATCTAGGTTCTACGATAACTAGAAAAAATGAAATTGAAGAAGTGGTTAAGGTTAGACTGAAGGCGCGAAATGCTTGTTATTTTTCTGTGACAAAACTGCTTATCTCGCCCCTCTTGTCCCGGAACTTAAAAATTAGAATCTATAACACCATTATCATACCTACAGTTCTTTATAGATGCGAGACTTGGCCGCTTACATTAAGGGATGAACAGCGTCTTAAGGTTTTTTAAAATAATGTATTGCGTAGAATATTCGGACCGCTGAAGGATGAGTTAACCGGGGAGTTCAAACGGTTACACGACGCAGAATTGCGTGAATTCTATTCGGATAATATAATTGAGGTAAAAAAAAAAAAAAAAAAAAAAAAAATCGTTAAAATCGGACAATTAGGAGCAAAGATATGGTCTTCGGTTTTTTTTAATGTGTTCTACTCCAAATGTTATATCCTTGGTTTGGTTTTTAAATTTTAAATGTGTTACTGAAGTAATGCTATTTTTTTTAGAATATTACTAATGATTAAAGAAAAACAGTTTAGTCCAATAATTGGAATCACCTTTTGTTTTTTTTTCTTTGTAACTCGGAAGGTAATGTTACTTTAGATGTATAATTGTTTGGAAATAAGAAACCATTTTGAAATAATTTGCAGCGTTTTTATTATCTAATTAAAGAAACAAAGTTCGTCGATCTGCAGATTGAAAACGTCCCAATATCTAGAATTGTTGTAAATAAAATATTTGTAAGTTACAATAAGATAAAGATATTTACGAAGTTTCAGCCGGATGGTGATAGTTAGATTAAAAGGTGTTTGTACCACGGAATATAAGGTTAGAATTAAATGCATTTGCATGCAAAGGAAATTGATTTAACTTTTGCATTAGTTCTTATCCAGAAGCTTTGTGAATTATCAGGGTGTGAATTCCAGTTGATATTGTTTTGTTTTTTTAGTCTTACAATTAGTAAGTTCTCTGTGACACAGGGGCTTCATGACATTACTCGACAACTCAACGCGACGTGAAGCCTTTTAATTAAATAGGTCTTGTAGTGTTTCAAGGACAAATTGATGTCCTTCCGTTCAGCAAATTAAGCAACTTGTTCATTAGTTGTTTCATTAATTCAGTTCTTCAGCTTCCAAACAGTCTGTACTATGGCTGCTTGGAACTCTCATATGGCTTTGTTCAATTTTAAGCTTGTTTTTAAAATTATTATTTAGGTACATTTTCAGAATCCAAAATTATAAATAAGCGTTTATTTTTTCCCTAAGCATTCCGGGAAGTATATAAGTATAAGTTGCTGATACAAGAATGTTACCATAGAGCATTTTGGTACTTTGTAAGTGCCACCTATCGATGGAAAGGATTCTATTGGATATCTAATATTTATTGAACTAAGCGGCGCCTAATGAATGATTGGCAAAGTGTGCGCATTGGATGACGAAAAAAATCTAGCATATAATATAACTCTTTAATTAACAATAAACATATTTGGAATTTAATTTTTATTAGTTATACATATTCCTGGTTCACAATAAATTTGCCATCTACCTCGGTACTCAGCAAATGTGATATGAAGGAGAAGCTAAGTTATTTGTCGATAACATTCAATTATAGTGTTAGAGTATTTTTTCTTTTGTTTTGATCGAAACTCCCCTTCTATTTTCTAAATACTGAGTTTCTTTATCTAATTATTATCAACATGATAGATACCTCAATACGTTTTCCAGCGATAGTAGGTGTGTCGAGGATTGTAGGTTTATGAAATACGTTATGGGCGATGTAATCGGGAACTTGATGCTTTCTGCCCCTTTGCTGATGTCTGAGCCCATACAGGCCATCGGGTAATTCCAGCGGGGGGCAGTGGCCCGTACGGAGGGCAAAGGGCCTCCACTCAGTGCTGATGAGGAGCTACTGGAACTGGGTCAGGATGGACAAAGACATAGCGGCCATTAACCCTTTCGTACGGTCATCCATCTCCAGAGAGTGTTCCGATTGGATGGTCCCTCTCTCAGTAGGCAGGTGATGTGGTCAGTTCCTGCTTTTTATTTAATGATTATTCCGAGGTTTGTCTTTGGATGCACAGTATCTATTAATTGCAAAGGTTATTAACACCTGCGATAAGCCATTCTAGATATAAATGTGATAAATATTAGTGAGACCTAGTTAAAATAATATTTACCCCATACTGCTACGTCGGTTTGTCCGAATTGTTCCTATACTGTAGCTATCTGCCAAACATAATATTTTTTCTAAATCGGCCTAGTATCCAGAGTAAAGATTATTTTTTAGGAAGAAATAAGTTGATATTTGTTTTTTACATCTCAAAACAACCTTAAATACGCATTTTTCGAAAAATAAACATTTTGTCAACTCATGGAAATTTTGTTAAAAGTCGAAAATTGTAATAACTTCAGGAAATCTCCACCGAATCATACGATAATTATTAGAGATTTAGGACTTTATATGCTACACGAAATATTGAAATCTCCATTAAAAAATTAGAACTGAAGTTATAAAATATAAATATACGAATGGTTTTTTTTTTAATTTCTAGCTTAACAATGTGTGAAATAAAGTTATTGATATGAATTGGAAGAGAAATAATTTTCAACGGTTACACTAACGTTATATTAGGAGAAAATCCCGATAAGTTATGGATAGGTACAATAGTTAACGACTTCCGTTTCAAAAAAAAAAAAATCCTCCAAGAATAAGTTGAAATTTTTCATTTTTATTTCAAAATTCATATTTATGAATTTTAAAGGTCACTAAAAACTGAATCTATCTTTCTTTTAGGTAAAAAAAATTTACCTTGTTTACTTTAATTGTGATTTTTTCTTATCAATCAACCTCTGCTTATAACTGTTATAGTTGTTCAAATAAAGTATTCGTATATATATATACATAGGGAGTGGGGTAGCTCAGTGGTGGGGTACTGAGCTTCCAATGCTAAAGGTTCCAGATTCGAATCCCGGCTCATGGTTGAAAAATTAATTATTCTGTTTCATTGTCGGTGAGGAGACCCTAGTAGGTAAACCCCCCTTGGTCACACCCAGCCTCTATAAAGAGGGTACCACTAATTAAAATAATTAATTAAGGGGAAAAAACCTGTCGGTTCAGCGTGATCACGGTCAACTCAGTTCCTTGCACAACCCCATACTAAGAAACAGTGCTTTCCCTAAATAGTACTGAGTGTTCATCAATTATATACTTTAATTTTCAACACACGAAGGTCATTTACATTATCATTACTCCAAAAAATGAAAATTAACATGTTATCAATTATCATAATTGATAATTATAATCTCAATTATGATCAGAAGAAGAAGTAAAACACAGTAAATACAATTAATCCATTATCTGATTTTTCTTGACTAGAAGACTTCATAATCTTAGTTAATAATTAAATTTTTATTTTATTTTTTTTTTTTACTTACACTATGTACCAAAGCAGTTTAAAAAACAAGGTTGATTATAGATTTTTCAAAGGGGATCCAGTGATGGACAGGTTGGACCTTAAATGTAAATAATAAGCTTCTAGTTTGATTGATAGGTTCTAGTTTTTTCTAGAGGGAATAACAATGCCCTCTATTGACATTTTCTTTATTGACACTTTGACTTTGTTTATACATAGTTCCCAAATGAAAACTTTAAAATGCCCATCAATTTTGTTTCTCTAGTGCTCTTGAGATCAGTGAGTTTCATACACCTTTCTACTAACAGTTTTGCTATGAATAAGTTAAAAATTTATGTTATCTTATCTTTACAGTTAAATAAAATTTTAAAAGTTTTCTGAGGTCTGTCTATTACTGGTACCGATGCCCTGTCCATTACGAGTACAATTGAATTTCGGGGTGCTACCACTAATGCAAAAAGGTGTTCTTTTTTAATTGAGATTATATTTACATAACTTTGAATATTTTTTCAATTTTAAAGCGTTAAATAGAAAGAGGAGACCCTAGAGATTTTAATTGCGCAACAAATAAGTGTATAAATATAATAATTATAGCGGCATAAGCCAAAAAAGACTGAGCTATGTCCATCATTGGTGTGCTTACCCATGTGTGTTTCTCATGAACACAAAGATATGAAGTACTTTGCAATCCTTTTGTTTTTGCTCATGTTCATCTACAGTTTAATAAATTATTATGTATCATTGCAGATGTATTGTACGACCCGAAAGACGTCAGAGCTTTGCATTACGGTCAACCCATCTTTAACGAAAGGCCTAAGCCAAAGGAAATAGAGATCACTCCTGGACCCGCAGATTATCACGTAAGTTATCTTCACTTTTTTCTAATTAGGAATTAATTAAAAAGAATCATGAGAATATGAAGTTTAGGGTTGCGAGATTCTCTTGGGTTTGCTTTACCTATCTAACGTAATAATAACTTAAATTGGGTACCATACCCAGTGGTGAAGTGTGGATACTGTATCATCACTTTATGTATCCGTTTTCAAAGAAACGATGCGTCCCTACTCATTTGATACTTACTTTTGCAACTTTTAGGCTGTGCCCCTGATGTTATAGTTATTATTTTTATTTTATCTCTTGTTAAATAGACTTCTAATTGCTTCTGCTTGGACATAGGTTCGAAACCAAATCCGTTTGTCATTTTAATTTACAGCCTGAGCGACTTGTTTTATACTATACAAGAATAACATTTCTATGTCATAAAGGGTTGTAACCAAGGTTCTTATGCATGAACACAACACTTAATTCCAACTATCATAATTAATCCTATAAGAATTTTTTTGTTTCTACTATTTAGGTCAATGCTTACTTTGACTTATCCTTTAATTCCTTTTGAAATAAGTTAGTTTGATGGGGTCATCTACAATCTTAAAAAGCTATGTAATGTGGGAAGAAAAAATCGTGATTCATGCTCTTCTGAGACATTACTGGAAAAACGTTCTAAGCGCAAAGGCACCGCCGAAGAAATTTGTGCTATAGAACGAGTGTCAGATATCCATTGAAACACTGTCACACTTTTGCTCAGCCGTTTCGACAGCGGGAATATGATTCTAAGTATGGGAATATGATTCTAAACATAAGTAGTGGTTACTGCAAGGTGAAGCGCCACAACCGGAGATTTGTGAGAGCGCCACAAGAATGGTTTGGGAAAAATGTGATGCGCTGCGTTTGTTGGAACTTCGAAGGCATTTTGCATTTTGAGTTTATTCCTGAAGTCCGAGTAGCGGACTCAAACCTTTACTGTCAACAGCTAAACAGAGTTTGCAATTTAGAGTGCAAAGTACTCCAGTTTGGTCAACAGGCACCAGGTCATTTTGCAAGACCACAATGCCGGATGTTATCGGAACTGCAGGCAGTAATCGTTTTGCCTCATCCTGGATATAGCCCAAATATTTCACCATCTGATTATGTTTATTTTAAATATATTTTTATTTATGATAAGTTTTTTGAGATAAGAAATAATGTAGGCATTTCTATTTCTTCTCAAATTGAGCTGTCTGTTCCGCTCGGCAAACATTTTGTTGTCTCATGTAAGCCCCTGTTTCGGAAAAGTTGCTCTGCTTAAGATCAAATTAGATCGAATTTTAAAAAACTCTAATATTATTTTTATGAATTGCATTTCATGTTTAATTATGAATTGGTTGATTATAAACATCAAACATTTTATTTTTCCATTTTCTATTAATTTACTTTTAGTATTGATATAAAAATTATGCATACATATTATAATTCGACTGAGTAGCTAATTTCATTTTATCAACAGCTAGACAGAGTTTTCTGTTTAGAGCGCATAGTAATCGTTTTGCCTCATCCTGAGTACAGCATAAAAAAAAAAAAAAAAAAAAACATTTGATAAACTAATTTATATAGTAATGTGTTTACTTATTATTATTATTTATTACTTATTATTATTACGTCTTATTATTATCAACATCGTTCGTCCTTCTATAATTGATGTGAAGTTTCCATTAACTGATGGGGTACGAAACAAGTTTTGTTCCTATTTACTGTAGAGTCCACGAAGGTCCATTTGGTCATAGGAATAGTTCATATGTTGAAATTAAAATGTCGGGAAGAGTATCGAACTATTATAATTTTTACTGAAAATATATTAATGTTTGCAAATAATTCATTCAGATTTCCACTACAAAACATCAAATATAAACACATAAATGTTTTTGAGCAATGTCAGACAAGGTATTCATATAAAAAGAAGAAACAAATAAATAAATTCGAAGGATTCTACCATAAATATTAATAAGTTGTATATTTAAGGATGGGTAATAAACCTTTCAGTGTATCTCTCTCTCTATATATATAGAGAGAGAGGGCACTAAATTATAAAAGATGATTTGCTCATAACGGGCAAGGAGGATAATAAACAATTGCTCTCGAAAGGGAAAGTTACAACCGAGCCATTAAAAGAAGAGCACTATAACTGCCGTTAAGGGATGAGGCCGTTTTTCAACTTTATCGTCGGCACTATTAGTCTTAGCGGGGAGCTATTTTAGGGAAAGAGGATGCAGGGAATAAAATTTTTATATCACTCCTTTTGTGTCTATGTGTATGTCTGTCGGGAACGTGAGTCAACGGCGGATCACTCGATAAAGTACCCCCATCATTTGTTCTGATCCATCAAACGTCACCAGGATCGTAAATACAAGGGGGAGGGAGAGTATTAGTACGGGAAGGACCTCATGCTGAGATGTACTCGTCATACTTCGGGTATGTCGTGTCACTTCTTATAGCGTAATCTTCGTATATGACCATATGGAGATTCTTCACGAAATGAGGGTATAAAATGAAAAGAGAGCTGTGTGTTGGAACTCAGCGGCACACCGAAACCTATCTTGGGAAACATATTACATACCCAGTACCCTTATGTACATCTTCAGGAGGAATACATATAAATAAGTATTTACCATCTTGATTAATTAATAATAAAATTTAGGGTTTTCCCACTTTATTTCATATGAAATTTAAAAATGTAAAGGACGTAGCAGCTCATACATTTTATGCAATGGAAGCGGGATTAATTGGACAATGCTCATTTTTTTGTCCATTGCTGAAGAACAGTTATTATCGACTGATAAAAAACAATTACTTTCTTTTTCTTAAAATTGTTTTTTTTTTTTTTTTTTTTTACCAGCGATCTTCTAATGTAGACATATCATTAGAGTGCTACCATTGGGTAGTTACTCAGCAAGTGTTTTCATGACATTATATCCATTATATTCAAATTTACTAGATGTATTTATTTAATACAGTTGTAAAGGTCATTAAGAAATAAACAAAATAATTTTTTTTTCTCTCTTTATACTTCTATACACACCTGTCATAGTATTGACAATAAGCAGATGTAATCTCTTTGTGGAGGAAATTGTCATTTAAGGCATGAGGAAGATGAAGTACCAGCACTACCTCTTCCTGGTATTGGTCTACTTCATAATTTAGGAAAGGAGATCTCTCATTCAGCTCCTCTTTAGTCGTCTCCTGGTGGGCATGTCAGCTGTGGCCATGTCGTCGATAAGTCCGTTGTGATGTTCGTGTAGTTTAAGATGAAATCGGGAGTAGAGAGTACGTATATGTTGGTCGATAGTTGTAGGTCTACTATTATACGCCTGGGCTAAATAGTATTTACAAAATATATTTTTTATTAAATTTGGCTCAATTTTAAAAAAAAAAGTATCTATAATGATGTAGAGTTGGTTGACCGTTGATATAATATGAGAAGGAGTTAGTCGAGGGTGCGGTCAAATAAATAAAAAAATTAAAATATATAAATTATTTTAATTTTTGCCGACGTTTCGACCAACTTTGCAGGTCGTCTTCAGGGCGTAGGATGTGGCACTACGGGAGGCAGTTGAAACACTTCAACACAGTGTTTCAACTGCCTCCTGCAGTGCCACATCCTACGCCCTGAAGACGACCTACAAAGTGGGTCGAAACGTCGGCAAAAATTAAAATAATTTATATATTTTAATTTTTTTATTTATTTGACCGCACCCTCCTCGACTAACTCCTCATAAGATATCAGTGGATAACAAGCAAGTGGAGGTTACCTTTAATTGTAAATAAACAGATAACGGGACTAAAGGTTAAGAAGTGAAGAAATTGAAAGATTAATAGGGTAACATTAGTGTAATATTGTTGGGATAGATTATTAATTATAAATAACTCGATAAGAAAACAATAATTTTAAAAGAATACTTCAAAATGTAAGAATAAATGTAAAAACAAGGTTATGATGATAAAGAAACAAAAAACAGGTTGTTGTCAGTGTTTCAACTGCCTCCCGCAGTGCCACATCCTACGCCCTGAAGACGACCTGCAAAGTGGGTCGAAACGTCGGCAAAAATTAAAATAATTTATATATTTTAATTTTTTTATTTATTTGACCGCACCCTCGACTAACTCCTTCTCACAAAAAAAGTATCTATATATTTAAAAAATCTATATAGTTACCAACAATTATTTGTAAATCTATTCTTTTTTTTTTTTTTTTTTTTTTTTTTTATCAACCCTCTATTTTGAGCCATTTTCAATTCTTTCACGCATCTTCGTTTCATCTACCTCATTGTAATTTAAAATTGTTCTGTGCTAGAATGATTTTCAGTTTCGATATTCCGTTTTATTTTGTCAATCACGCTTTTTTTCATGACCTTTTCAGTGACTGACAGAAGCATATATTAAAATATTTAAAAATAAAATCTGGTGCGGTTCGCGCATTACACAAATTTCACTTACCACCCTCTTCTTAGCAGAAATAAATATTTTCAAACTAAGGGGAAGTGAAAATAAAAAATATAGATGCTATATTTATTTATATTTCATTTTGGGTATTTTTATTTGTTTAAGTACCCATGTATATACAAATTTTAATATTTATATCGCCGTAATCTTATACAATTAAATATTACAACTATTATCCGTTCCGATCTCTTATTTTTCTTTTAGTTAATTATAAAATTCTTTCATATTTTTTATTTAACTATTTATATCAGAGATCAATGTGTAATGGTTATTTGTTTCAAATAAAATAATAAAAATAAACGTACTTAAGGTGTGAGGTGTGAGTAGTAATTAAAGTTTAAAAAAATTATACATTTTAAATATTTCAGTAACTTATACTTGGAATGATTGAATAAATATGTCCAAATAATAACGCAGAAATGTAATTACATTCGTATTTCTTTCGCGTATCTTTGTTTTTGTTTCTCATTACCATATTAAACAGAGGCATGCTGGATGAGCCACGAACTGCCCTGTTCGAGGGCACATCTTCAGGAGGGTAAGAATT